ATAAAGACAATCTTTGTACCCTTCATGGAGACCCTAAGTATTTACAAATCTGTAGTGATAATGTCTCCAGTAAACCCCCCCATACCCCTCAATCTTATTCATTGTCATGCATGAGTAAATAAATACTGCTCTTTTTAAATAAGGGAACAACACATTTTGGTTGTTTCTTTTAGAATTCTGGTGCAAATGAGATGACTAGAAAAGTAGTGCTCATGCATGCAACTCAAAACAGTAGGTTAGTTAGTATGACACCATTTCCAAAACAAGGTTTGTGGTTTAAATGAATACCTCCCTTTGGGAGATAAGGGTTTTGGCGTATTAAGGGTTCCAAAAAGTCCTGTGATGACAAAGACGCTTTGTGGAACTCTGTTTTCACAGGACATCTCTTGACTTCTCTTAGTACAGCCACCGGGAGAACGGGTCCTAAATTCTGTCTTGCAGTTTCTGTTGTCAGCATTGCAGGCACGTTCTGCCGGGAAGCCCAGGCCTGGGAGCCACCGGGATCCTGGTTCAACCACCCCACGCTACAGCTGCCACGTTTGCAGTGGTGCTCACCAGTGCCCTTTGTTTATGAGACGGGACTCAAATCCTGTAGTCCCAGTTACTTGGTCGGCTGAGGCAGAAGGATCACCTGAACCCAGGAGGCCGAGGCTGCAGCAGCCATGAGTGTGTCACTGCATTCTAGTCCGGGCGACAGTGAGACTCCGACTCAGGGAAAACAAAAAGGAGGAGGTGAAGGGCATGATCTGGCCATGAGCTGGGCGCTGTGTCTCCAAGGACCATGCCTTCATTCAGTCTGCTCGAGCAAAAGGCCGTTCTGGAGGCTGGGAAATACACCCGTGGGTTCGGTGTCTGGCAAGGACTCTCTTTCTGATAGTCAGTTTCTCACTGTACCCTCTCATGGTGGAAGGCATGAGGGGTCTCTCTGGGGCCTCTTTTGCAGGGGAACGAATTCCCTTCCTGAGGACCTGGCCTTCACGACCTAATCACCTTCCAAAGGCCCTACCTCCTAATGCCCTCAGCTAGGGGGTTAAGATTGCAATATATGACTTTCCGGGAGACACAAGCATTCAAGCCACAGCAGAGGGTGATTTCATTTGTGTGAAATCAGACTGTGCATGGATCAGTCCTGCAATGCGTGCTGTGAATGGCATGTAGTGTCGGGTAATGGGTTTACATGGCCACGTTCATGCCAACATCCAGCATACGTGCATACTCTTCCCGAGAAGAGAAAAAAAAGTGAGAAACTGGTTGCATAACAATCATTAGTTTTATAGCTGAGTAAGTTATGAATAATAGTGCTTTCAGTTATTTCATTACCAATCTGCCCCCAGGAACAAGATGAAGTCGATAAAATATTTATGGGCTAGTAAATTTTTTCTGCTAATTTGCAAGGCTATAATAAAACTCATGAACTTGATGGCCTGCAGGAAACAGAACACGAACTAGGAATGTAGAGTAATTTGGAGCTAGAAAGCCTCGTAAGGCCCTGCAGGAAATGACTTCCAGAAAGCAGAGGAATCGCAGTATTTGAAACAAAGTAATGATGTTACGTTCGTACCTAACCAGTCATAGCTCATAGCCTGAGAAAACATTTTCAGAAGGCGATTGTGGAAATCTCTTGCTTTCAATTATTCTTGCCTTCAAAAACAAAATTAATTCAAGAATATAAAAAAGTTAGAATAAAAACAATTACTGCAGCCCAGTGTATAATATTAACTTTTGGGATGGTCATCAAAAAAAAAAAAAAAAAATGTACAGTAGACAGTCCCATTGTGCCCTCTTGTGGTAGAAATATTATTGCCATTAGAAGACACACCTGATGTATTTTTTTTTTTTTTTTGAGTTGGAGTCTCACTCTGTCGCCCAGACTGGAGTCCAGTGGCCGCTCCTGGCCACCACAGCCTCGACCTGCTGGGCTCCAGCGATCCTTCCGCCTCAGCCCTCCAAGTAGCTGGAACTACAGGCGCGTGCTACCATACCCGGCTAATTTTTTGATTTTTTGTAGAGATGAGGTCTCGCTGCCCAGGCGGGTCTCGAACCCGCGGGCTCAGGCAATTCACTCACCTCAGCCTCCCAAAGGCGCGGGATTACAGGCTGAGCCATCGAGCCCGGCTTCTGATGTATTTTTAGTAACTCATCAGATTTGGTTTGGGGAAGTTTGTTCATGTGAAAACATGGTTTTCAGAAGTGCTTGGCTAAGCATCATCGCTGGGACACCCTAGAGGATGCACGTCTGGGTGGGGCCTTCCTTACCCAGGAGCAGCAAAAGTGTCCTAGTGTGTTAATGCACGCCAAGTAATACCCATCCCAGAGTGCCACTGAATTTTCTGTTTAATGTTAAACTTATTTATTTATTTATTTATTGAGTTGGAGTCTCACTCTTTCACCTAGACTGGAGTACAGTGGCTGCTCTCGGCCACCGCAGCCTCGACCTGCTGGGCTCTGGCGGTCCTTCCGCCTCAGCCTTCCAAGTAGCTGGAACTACAGGCACGCGGTACCACGACCGGCTGATTTTTGATTTATTGTAGAGATGAGGTCTCGCCAAGTTGCCCAGGCGGGTCTCGAACCCGTGGGCTCAGGCAATCCACTCACCTCAGCCTCCCAAAGGCTCAGGATTACAGGCTGAGCCACCGAGCCCGGCTTATTTATTTTTTTGAGTCAGAGTCTCACTCTGTGGTCCAGGCTGGAGTGCAGTGGCACGATCACAGCTGCCGCGGCCTCAACCTGCTAGATTCAGGTGATCCTTCTTCCTCAGCCTTCCAAGTAGCTGAACTACAGGCATGCATCACCATGTCCAGCTAATTTTTTGCTATATTGTAGAGACAAGGTCTCACCAAATTGTCCAGGCTAGTCTCGAACCCCTGGGCTCAGGCAAACCTCTCGCCTTAGCCTCCCAAAGTGTTGGGATTACAGGCATCAGCCATGGCACCTGACCTTAAACTTATTCATTTTTATTTTATTTTATTTTATTTTTTGAGTTGGAGTCTCACTCCGTTGCCCAGACTGGAGTGCAGTGGCTGCTCTCAGCCACCGCAGCCTTGACCTGCTAGAATCCGGCGATCCTTCCGCCTTGGCCTTCCAAGTAGCTGGAACTACAGGCGTGCACTACCATGCCTGGCTAATTTTTTGATTTGTTGTAGAGATGAGGGCTCCCCAGGTTGCCCGGGTGGGTCTCGAACCTGCGGGCTCAGGCAATCCACTCACCTCGGCCTCCCAAAGCGTGGGATTATAGGCTGAGCCACCGAGCCAGCAACTTACTCATTTTTAACATTTTGTTATTAGTTATCCTCATCTGTAAATGACCATAATTGTTATCTTTCATGAATCGGGCAGTTTACACACATAATCTCATTTAATCTCAAAACGATGCGATTATAGAAGGAAACAGATATCGGGCAATGCTGTAGTTTCCCCAACCGGTAAACAGAAGGGCGGGGTTTGAATGAAGCCTCCCCTGTCTCAAAGCCTGTGCACTTTCCATTCTGCCAAGCTGACTCTCTAGCTGAATATGTCTTGAGGACTGGTGACTTCGGAGACACCACCGCTGGCTGGCCCCCGCCCTTCTAGAACTTGTGGGCTGAATAAGGAAATAAAAACATTGTGGAAAAGGAGCCACCATCTGAGGCCAGATGCAAAGAATAACTATGTAGAATGACTTTTTTTTTTTT